ATAAATATTTATTTAAAATATATTTATATATGCAGTTATTTAATAATATTAATAATAACAAATTTAAAAAATTATATATTTATTTGTGTCAATAAATAATAAAAATAAAAATAAAGATTTTTATTGAAAAATCTCAATATTTTAGGGTAATTTTCAAAATAATTTTAATATTTTAGATCAATTTATAAAATAATATCAAATTAATTTACCTAAGAAAAAAATTAGTATGAAACTATTTTATAAACTTACCCAAAATATTATATTTTATATCTATTCCCAAACCAAAAAATAAAAAATAAAAAAAAATCCGATAACATATCTCTCTCTCTGTATATATTCCCTAAAACCCCAAACTCTGACCCAATTGCTACCATTATCCTCTACATAAGCCTTGTTCTTTGGTTATGATTTCACTCATCTTCTGTTTAGAGAGAGAAACCGAAAGCAAAAGAGGTTGCTTCATGCATTTTTCTTCCGCAATCCGTCTTTAAAAGTTTCTACAACACACTCCCCTAAATACCCGCATCTGCAGTTTTTGATCCATTTCCAACCTTCCTGTATATTTGCTCTTTAAATCAATAAAACCCAAGTGAAAAATCTTGTCTTAAGGGATTTTGAAATGGCGCCCAGTCTTGATTACTTGGCATCAAGTTTACTGTGTGCAGAAGAAAATGACAGTATATGTTACGACGACGACAACGATGATTTTGATATGTTATTGGATCATAGAAATTATCAAAATATTAATCAAAATCAGAGATTTATCAACCATCCTGAAACAGAGCAATGTGTTATTGATTTTCCTTTACGAAGTGATGAGTGTTTAGATTTGCTAATTGAAAAAGAATGTGAACAATTTGTGGATTTTTTTGATTATTTGAACAAACTGAAGAATGGTAACATGGATTTGGTTGCAAGACAAGACGCCGTTATTTGGATTACGAAGGTTTGTTTTTGTTCTTCTAAATCCTGCATCGAATTCTTTTCGATCTGCCATTTTCAACTTTTTTTATAAAGTAAACAGTTTTTATTTGCGATTTTAATTATCTGGGATTAATCTCTACTTGTATGAAACTAAAAAAAGAAAAGAAAATCATATATTGCTTAACTTTCATTGATTTATTTTGACCAGGTTCATGCTCATTTCAATTTTGGACCCCTAAGTGCGTATTTATCAGTAAATTACTTGGACAGATTTCTTTCTGTTTATGAATTGCCTGTAAGTTTTCATATATTTTACAAGAAGATATGATTAATTTATTATATTACATTCAATTTGTTGACCAAAATGAAACAATTCCTTTTATTAGGACAAAGCTTGGACGATGCAGTTGCTAGCTGTAGCATGTTTATCATTAGCAGCAAAAATGGAAGAAACCGAAGTACCTCTCATTCTAGATTTGCAGGTCAAGATCCTATTTTGACTAAAGTTGTTGACTTTCTTTGTGGTGTAATATAATTTTGACCATGGAATTGGATTTTTGATTGAATTTGCAGGTGGGTGGATCAAGATTTGTGTTTGAAGCAAAAACCATTCAGAAAATGGAGTTGCTTGTGTTGACGACATTGAAATGGCGAATGCAAGCAGTGACTCCATTCTCTTTCATTGATAATTTTCTTGAGAAAGTCAAAGATGGTCAACCCACTTCCAAATCTATGATTTTGAGATCAACCCAATTAATTTTATGCTTAATGAAAGGTAAAAATGATGTCTTTTTGGATTCATCTCATAATCCTTGAATGAAGCAATGAGGGTTAAAATCGTAAATTTACAATGTAGGGATGGAGTTCTTGAAATTTAGACCTTCTGAGATAGCAGCAGCAGTAGCAATTTATGTCGTGGGATCGACACAATTTTCTTCCCTGTTTCTGCATGTTAATAAGGTAATGTACATTGATACTTAAAATTGGTTAATGTGCAACTTTCATTGCACAAGATACAAGTCAGTATAACCTTTTCCCGTGTCATAACTCATAAATATCAGTAGAGTTGTATCTTGTGCAATAAAGGTTGTACATTTGGTCATATTTCCAAGAAAGAAAAACCCTGCTTCTTTAGTAGTAGGGCTTGAAGATTTTCTTGTGTTGACATAAAGATGGGTTTTTGTAGGAAAGGGTTCTTGAATGTGTAGAATTGTTGAAAGACTTGAGTGGTGGTTGTACAATGAGCTTAACGAGTGGTACATTGACATCAATGACAAAGAGCCCAATAGGTGTGTTGGAGGCTGCTAATTTATGCTATTCAGCTGATGATTCAGCAGTTGAATCATGTCTAAACTCTGCTCAAAAGAGGCTCAACAACACACCGTTTGATTTGAAGATTTAGGCTGATATTTTTAGTTAATAAATAAATTGCTTGGATTTGATTTTTGATTTTTGATTTATTTTTGGTAGGATGAGTATTTAGTCAGAATTACCCTCCAAAAAAGGGAAAAAAAAGTCATGAGCTGTTAAATATTAGACCTCTTAACAGCTGGCGAAGATCTTTGGTAAAATTGGAAATATATATACAAATTAAATTATGTATTTTTGGGTAGATATGGTTTCTTGTACTCCTTTTATTTTGTTGAATTACAAGAAACGTTGGTTGATAAATTAATTATGTTTAATAATTTATAGAAGAAATGATGAAATCCAATATTTGTAATGTTATTGATAAGTACTCCCTCCGTCCCAATATTATTGTCCACAGACAAAAACCACACGTATTAAAAAAAACATTAATTACCACTAACTTTATTTTATAAAATGACAGTTTTGTTCTTACTTTGCATTTAATGTTCCATTAAATGCTTAGTTGGTTACGTAATAATGAGGGGGTATTTTGGTAAAAATGTTATTTATTTTTAGAAGTGACTATTATTTTGGGACAAACCAAAAAGGAAAGATGGACTATAATTTTGATATAATTTTGAGACGGATGGAATAAATGATTAGATTGTGTACTTACTAATAAATAAAAGGGTAGCAGTTGAATAATTTTCCATTAACGTAACCAATTTAAACAAACTGTACTTTCAGAATATTTTTATAAGAAAATAATGAACTTCAATTTTTCTATTTAATGCAACAAGCTTGAACATTCTTTTTATTTAAAAAAACTATATTCCAATTTCTATAATTCATGTGATTGACTGTTGGGTCTAAATTTGATTTATACTTTGCTTTTCTAGTAAAATATATTTTTATGTAATGTTGTATGTGTTTGCGGTTTGTGTGTACGGCCGTACACCCGTGTACAGCCAACTATCTCATATATATAGGGTGAGGAGTCCATGAGAGAAAAAGGCTAGAAGGCTAGAGAAGAGAAACATGTTCTAGAGAGAGAAACTAGAGAGAAGAATAGTGTGTGAGAGAATCTTGTGTAAGGAGCATCATTCATATCTTCAATACATACAAGATTTATCATCTTCTTCTTCTCCTTCTTCTTCTATTGATCTGACATCATCCGTTTGATTGAGATTCCGCACCATCAAACGGATCTGATTGATACACAAGCAGATCAGGAACTTACAAGTGGTATCAGAGCTTGGATTGTATCAGTCAATTTTGTTAGATCTGGAGCTTATTTGATCTTATTTTTGAAGGATTCCTGCGTTTTTGGATAGATCTTGGCAAAATAAGGGGGGTTTGTTCTTCGCGTTTTTCATAAAAAACGAGTTTTTTTGATCGAGTTTTGGAGTAAAAAGGGTGAAAAACGTCGTTTTTTCTTCGGATCTGTTGAAGGTGTGCGGCAGAAGTCCTCGCAGCACAACAGCTTCCATTAAAAACGAATCGGATTTTTGGAGGTGTCGGGGATCGAACCCGGGTATCCTCCCAACTCAACCAGCGCCTTAACCAACTCTTCTAGCCAGCTGGATGATAAATTCTTTCGCTTCTTAATTCAAATATCGTATCTGCGTACCTAATTTCGCCAATTTGACATTTTTAGTCCAAAATCAATTTTCTTTTAATTTTAAATTACATTTTCAACCAAAAATTTTAGTTTTTAAATTTTGACTTTTATTTTTGACTTATTACTTAAAATTTTGACTTTGACTTTTAAAGTTTGACCTTTGACTTTAAACTTTGACTTTCTCGTTTAACATTTAAATTTTCAAATTTAGCTTTTCGGTTTGACTTTTAAGTTTGACTTTTGAGTTTGACTTTTTAAATTTGACATTTAAGGTTGACTTTTGAGGTTTATAGTCAAAGTACATTTTTAAATTTAAGTTTGACTTTTAAATCTGATTTTGGCTTCTAGTTGTGTTTTTAATGGCTTTTGAGGTCAACAAGGGAAATGAAGACATGAAAGAGAGTCAGGGATATGTTAAGACAAAAATTCAACATGTTCAACTATATCCCTGGAGAAACCCTGAAAGCTCAGTTGCAGTGATTTACTACACTTACTACTGAGATGAATATAGCTAAGATCTTCTTGACTAAATCTGATATAAACAAAAAGCTGCTGAATGCACTTCCGAAGTCATGGGATATGAACGTGGCTGTCATCAAGAAGACAAAAGATCTCAATCGTCTTAGTCTTGCTGCTGTAATTGAAGAACTTGACGCTTCGAAGTGTGGAAAAACGATGAGTTCTACAAACATCCCAGTCAATGAAGTTTCATGTACTCCATCTTGTGAAGATACGATTAAATTTCTTCGGGAACAAATTGATTTATTAAAAAGAGAAGTTAAGGACCTGAGATATGAAAGATATCAACTCAGAAAAGGACAGAAACCCCTAAAGGCTGAATTAGAAACAAAAATAAAGGACTTTAAGAGAATTCAGGAAGACTACAGTAACAAATGTGAAAATTAAAAACCCAAGTCATTTGCAAAAAAAATTTCTCTCTCTAACTTTCTCTCTCTAGGATTCTCTCTCTCGTTTGTCAGTTTTTGCGTGTGACTCGGCGGGGATTTTGGCCGGTCGGAAGCTGTTTCCGGCGCCGGTTTTCTCTTCTATCTGATCGTCGTTCCATCATTGTCCTTCGTCTTCAGTTTGTGAAGGTGTAGGAATAATGTTGGGAAAATTTGGAAGCATTTTTGGATTGAAAAGTAATGATCCTCCAGATCCAGATCCAGATTGTCAAAGGTTGTATGAAGAAGATTTCGATGTTGAACCAGGGGCGATACGAAGAGGAAGGCGGGCAATCCATAAGGAAAATTCTCCATACACTGGAGATAAACCTCTACTGTTAAAGGAGAAGATCAAAGCTCAGGTCAATCGGAATTTGGTGGAGAAGAAGTTCCTAGAGTCGAAAAGTTCTAATGAAGGATTGAAGTATACATTACGAGCTGGAGTACGTGAAGTCATCGAATCGGGATATGGAAAGGAGAATTCTGATCCTAATTTTATCAAATCAGAATTAAAATCTATGGAGAATGCGATTAAGGGTGGCAAAGGAATAGAAACTCAGTTTTCAGTCCAAGCTGGTTAGAAGATCAAAACAATTAACGAATTGGTGGAGGAAAGGGGGTTTGTTTTGATTCAAGCTACGTTTGATATGGTTGAAGGTTTCAACTCTTCAAATTCTTTGAAAGATGTTCCTAATCCTTCGATTGTTCTTCCTGGGAATGAGGCGAGCAAAGCTAAGGGCATTTTGGGGATGAAACCGATGAGTTCTGAGCAGAAATTGAGTTCACAATCTGTTCCAGTGAAGATAGTTTCGTCTCCTGCTTCAGGTCTTTCCCCTGTAAAATCAGTAAGTCCTTCCATTGGAGTCCCTGTGATTGCGAAGTCTGTGCTTAATTCTGTTAACAATTTTGATGCTGAGATGAATGATTCTGTGATTGAGGGTTCAATGTTGAATGGTGAGATTGGTAGTATTTCGAAAATGCAACAGGGGGGTAATCCTATGAATGAGGATATGAATTTGGATGGTAGCAATGGAAATAATTTAAAGGTGGAACAGGGGAGTAGTTTTCTGAATCTGAAATGGGATAAGGAACCAATGAATGTGGATAATTTTTCTAAACCAAGTATGTCTCCTGCAGCCAAGTTGGTTAGTGATTATAACAAGAAGTCTTATGCTCGAATGGTTGAATCTACTAGTTCTGTGGTTGATCTTAACATCAAAGTAATTCCTAAAGCTGATGGGAAACCTGCTGGTAAAGTCGAATTACCATATGCAGATTTGATGTTAGGAGGAGCTCCTTATCATGCTACTCTTTATGGTTTTTTTATGGGCAAGAAGTTAGCGTTTCCTACTATTAACCATTTTGCTTTCAAGATGTGGAAGATTTTTGGATTGAAGGATATAATGGTGAATGACGAAGGGTTCTTTTTCTTTAAGTTTGATTCTAAAGAAGGTATGATGAGTGTGCTTGAGGGAGGACCATGGCTTATTAACAATGTTCCTTTGTTTATTCAAAGATGGAGGCCTGGATTGGTTTTGAGCAAACCTCAAATTAAGTCTGTTCATGTGTGGGTTAAAGTCTTTAATGTGCCTTTGGAATATTGGAACAGCAAGGGGGTCACATTGATTGCTAATGAAATTGGGAAGCCAATAGCTATGGATAATATCACTCAAAAGATGTGTAAAGAACACTGGGGTAGGCCTGCTTTCATGAGATTTCTTGTAGAAATGTCAGCTGAGTTTAATTGGCTGAAGGAGATTAGTGTTGTCTCAATTGATTTTGGGACATGTGAAAAAGTGGAATCAAGGTGTAGGGTGGAGCATGCTTAGAGACCGGATGTGTGTTCCCATTGTAAAATATATGGACACAAGAATAGCAATTGTGGTATCTTGAATAGTTTGGAAATTGAAACTAAAGAAGATGAAAAGTTAGTAGCAGAAGAGAACAGCAAAAATGGAAAAGTTGATAGTGATGTGTTTATCTTGGTTACTAAAAAGAACAATAAAGGGAAACAATCAAGTAGTAATGTCGTATTTCAAGAAAATAGGAAAATTGATTTGATTAAGTCTTTGGAGAAGAGTACAGTTCCTATGGAAGAATGTGTTGTTGTTGAAAAACAAGGGCAAGAAAGTGGAAGGAGAGGGCAGCCAAGATAAACAAAAAGGAAAACAAATTGAAGAGAAACAAGATAGTCAAAAAGGAATGCAAAGTAGCAAGGAAAAAGGGAGGAAAACAAATGGAGAAATCTTTTCCAAATTTGCTGTGGGGAAACTTAGAAAAGATGGGAAGGATACAGGGGCATTTCAGTCTTTTGATGGAAAAAGTGGGAAATCGAATGGAACTGGAGTTTTTATTCCAAAGGAGAAATTGGGGAGCAAAGTCAAGAATGTTATAGACAACTTCAATGCCAAGAAAGAAGAAATGCAAGGGAGAAAAGAGGAAACAAAGAAGAAAGTTTATGTTCCAAAAAAGCCAGTTAATGTCAAAATTAGTTCTAATTTTGATAATTTGGGTTCAGCTTCAGGGAAAGATGACCAAGATGAAATAATTTCAAAAAATCCTTTTGATGTATTAAATGATGAAATGGGGTTAAGGGATATGTCTTATTTGGATGAGATCGATCCAGAGATTATTACTGGAGGTGCCCAGGAGATTAACACCGAAAATCAAAATGTTGATCAATGATGATGAGTCTTGGTTGCTGGAATGTGAGGGGTGCTATTTTAAGGCCTAAACAAGAGGAAATAAAAAATGTGATTATCAGTAATAAGTTGTCTTTATTTGCTATTCTTGAATCACAAGTGAGATTTAATAAGCTTCAAACGACTTGTAATAAAGTCTTTGGGAATTGGATGTGGATTTCGAATCAAGAAGTGAGCCCCAAAGGTACTCGTATTATTATTGGGTAGGATCCGGATGAATTAGTGGTCATGCCGTTGGATGCTAACAGTCAAGTGATGCATTGTCAGATCCTCTTTATTAAAGATAATAAGAGAATCTTTTGTTCCTTTGTCTATGCGTGTAATTACTACATGGACAGAAGGAAACTGTGGGAGTCGTTGGATAAGCACAAGTATTCTATTGATTCTTCTCCTTGGTTGATTACGGGGGATTTCAATGTTACGAGGGAGCTTATTGATTCTACAACTGTTAACTCGAAAATTTCAAGGGGTATGGTGGAATTTAATGATTGTATAAATCGTATAGAAGTTCAAGATATCAATTGTAATGGGTTGCATTTTACCTGGAATCAAAGACCGAGAGGGGCTCATGGGGTTTTAAAGAAACTTGATCGTGTTTTGGGTAATTTTAAATTTATTAGTGATTATCCGAATGTGTTTGTCAATTTTCAGCCGTATAGAAATTCGGATCATAGCCCGATGGTTATTAAATTTCCTATCAGAAAGAAATTTAGAATCAGGCCGTTTAAGTTTGTGAACTCTCTTACGTTGCTTGATGATTTTCTTCCCATTGTGGCGGAAGTGTGGAAGGAAGAAATTGAAGGATTTGGTATGTTTAGGCTGTGTCAGAAGCTGAAACTTTTGAAGAAGCCTCTTCGAAAGCTGCTGGGTGCTCAGGGAGATTTTGCTGGGAAAGTTGCTAAATGTAGAGAGGAGCTTTGTCGGGTTCAACTTAAGCTTGATAAGGAGCCTTTTAATGAAGAACTGAGAAGCGAAGAGGGGTTTTATATTCAGTCTTTTCTTAATGCTAGGGCTGAAGAGGAATGTTATTTAAAACAAAGAGCCAAGGTGCAGTGGCTTAAGGAGGGTGATGCTAATACTGCTTATTTCCATAAAGTGGTTAAGGGGAAAATCAACAGAAATAGAGTTGAAACTATTTCTAATGATAATGGAGACTGGAAGGAAGGGGAGGAAGCGTTTAAAGTTATTGTTGACTATTTTAATAATTTTCTTGGGGTGGAGCGTGAGGTGAAGTTTATTGAGTCCCCGAATAGTATTTTCTCTAAAAAAATTTGATAGACAGCAAGCCCTGGATATGGTTAGTGATGTGACTGTTGAAGAGATCAAGTTTGCCCTTTTTGATATTGATGATGACAAGGCTCCGAGGCCTGATGGATATTCTGCAAAATTTTTCAAAAAAGCTTGGATGATTGTGGGGGAGGATTTTTGTAGTGCTGTGAAAGAATTTTTTGTTTCTAAAAAAATTCTAAAGGAGATCAATGCTACGGTTATAGCTCTTGTCCCTAAAATTCCTACTCCGGGCAAGGTTGGTGATTACCGACCAATTTCTTGCTGCAATGTGGTTTATAAGTGTATTAGCAAAATCATTGTAAATAGAATTCGGGAGCATCTTGGTTTTTTGATCTCGGATAATCAATCGGCTTTCATTCCAGGGCGTACTATTCTAGATAATATTCTTCTTTCTCAGGAGCTTGTGAGAGGTTACCATATTGATCGGGGTTTTGCTCGATGTGCCATGAAGATTAACATCCAAAAAGCTTATGACACTGTTAATTGGATGTTTCTTCAATTTATTTTGAAAGAATTTGGGTTTCATGATTCTATGATTGTTTGGATCATGAGTTGTGTTACTACTTCTTCATTCATGGTTAATATTAATGGGAGCTTTCATGGATTTTTCAAAGGCAAGAGAGGGTTGAGGCAGGGATGTCCGTTATCCCCATACCTTTTTACCCTTGTTATGGAGGTGTTCAATCTTATGCTAAAGAGGTGCATTCATGAAAATGAAGGGTTCAGATATCATTGGAGGTGTCAAGATCAGAAGCTGACTCATTTGTGTTTTGCTGATGATTTAATGGTTTTTTGTCATGGGAGTTCGGGGTCTATCAAGATTGTGAAGAGGGCGTTAGATGAATTTGCTAGTGCTGCGGGTCTTTTGCCAAACTTATCTAAAAGTCACATCTTTTTTGGAAATGTTAAGGAGCATTATAAAAGGAAAATATTTAGGATTTTACCTTTTGTTGAAGGTGAACTTCCGATGAGGTATTTGGGGATTCCTTTGATTTCTACAAAGTTATTCGTAAGAGACTGCAAAGGATTGGTGGATAAGCGAAGGCTAGAGTGAATAATTGGAAAAATAAATCTCTTTCATATGCTGGCAGATTGTAGCTTATTAGTTCGGTTCTTTCTTCTTTACCAGTTTACTGGGCTTCTGTTGTTCTTTTGCCCAAAAGTCTACCACAAAAGAGATTGAGCAAATCATGAGGAATTTCCTTTGGAATAATGGTGATTTAAGGAAAGGAATGGCTAAAGTTTCTTGGAAGTCGATTTGTAAACCGAAAGAGTTTGGAGGATTGGGTCTTAAAAATTTGAGTGACTGGAATATTGCTCTCCTCTCAAAGCAAAATTTGGAGATTGATAAGTGGGCATAATTCTTTGTGGGTTAAATGGGTTAATGCTAATCTTTTGAAGGGAAGAAGTTTTTGGGATGTTGATTTTCATGATAAAATGAGCTGGAGTTGGAGGAATTTAATCAATATGGGACCTTGTATTTGGGAGAATTTTCATTATCAGGTGGGGAATGGTGAGTTGACTTTTATGTGGTATGATAATTGGCATCAATTGGGACCTTTGAGTCATGTGCTGTCTCCTAGAGAGATTGCTAATGCTGGATTCAATATTAGGGATAGAATTAAAGATGTGATCATTAATGATGATTGGGAATGGCCACAGGAGTGGTTAAGTATGATCCCTCAACTTGGTGAATATTCTATCCCTAAGTTATCTGGAGAAAGGAAGGATCAAGTTCTCTGGTGTAATTGGAAAAATGAACTTGTTCCTTTTTCTGTTAAACAGGTGACAGTGTCCTTGATGGCTCGTGATGAAAAAGTTAAGTGGTTTGGTCTTGTTTGGTTTCAACAAAGAATACCCAATCATTGTTTTATTTTGTGGTTGGCTATCCTTGGCAAGTTAAGAACTCAAGATAGAATGAAAAGATGGAATCATTCCTGTGATTTTGTGTGTACTCTCTGTAATTCGCAAATGGATTCCCATGAGCATTTGTTTTTTGATTGCAAGTTTTCTAAGGAAGTTTGGAAAAGGATAAAGCAGAAAGCTAAAATCAATCACAAGCATGGTTCTTGGATTGGAATTATTGAAGACCTTCAATCTGCTTTAAAATTGAAGAATATTGGGAATTTTATTAGGAAAATTGCCCTGGCAGCTTCTGTTTATCATATTTGGAGTGAAAGGAATAAAAGATTATTTGGGAATGAATGTAATTCTGTTGAAAGAGTGGTTCAAAATATCATAGTTGATATTAGATTGAAGCTTTTTGGTCTTAAGTCTGGATTCTTGGGGCTTAATGAACAAATTTGCAAGGAGTGGAGTATCCCTGTTAAAAATGAAAATTGTTTTTATGGGGATAGAAATTAAAAATAAGATGGATTGGAAGGTTTTATGGCAGTATCGCTGCCATGGAAAGAAGAATATTATCAATCGAAGTCCTCTGCTTTGGAGGATGGAGGGTTATGATGGGGATTTGGTAGAATTAGACGAAGGACAAATTTGTCATTTGGGAAATAATAATCTTGTTATTGGAAAATTAAATAATTGGGTGGATTTATTTTGCTGATCGAACCAGAGGAACAGGGAGAAAAGTGAGAAGATGAAGAACGATATGAAGAATCAATGGTTGGGTTTTTTGGTTGAAGGGTATAGTAGTAATTTGACAGCGAATTCTCTTTTATTTGTTAAAATGAGAAAGGTGTCGATCCTTTCTTGCTGTCTCAGGTCCGTGGGGGTGGAAGGAAAAATAAGAATTGATGATTGTGTGCGTTTGGTTGGGAGTGTTAATAGCCAGGGGCATTTTTGGTATTTCTCTTTTTCTAAGCATGTCTGGTCCTGGTTTGATTGTTCTGATGGCTGGTATGGGTTGAATAAAAGTGGGGATTCTTTTCTTGGAATTCTTTATATGTGTTTTCATACTTTTTGGAGACAAGGGCATTTTGGTCAATGGAAGCTGAATATTTCTAGGTCTATCCTTATTGAGGGTGAATATTGGAGGTTGGATGGTTTTAAGAAAAGGAGGAGCAGAAAACGAAATAAAGTTTGGTTCAAGAATAGTAATTTTGGGTGGAGGTCGATTTTCTTAAAGGAAGGGCATAATTGGAAAATAAAGATGTGGGAGGAATTCTTTTTTATGATGAGAGGCTTTGTTCATTATCTTTATAAAGGAATTGATGACTATGGGATTTTTGTCACTTTTTCCATTCAAAGTGAATTGCATCTCGGTTTGATCCCGAGTTTCAATTGGTTTTTACCTTATGAAGTGGAATTAATTCATTTACGGTTGGGTTTTATTCCCAATTGTTATGAACATCCGCCTTGGAAACAAGGTGTTTATATACATGGAATTGACGGATTTGGGATTTTTATCACTTTTTCCCTTAAAAGTGAATTGCATCTCAGTTTGATCCCGAGTTTCATTTGGTTTGTGCCTTATGAAGTGGATTTATTTCATTTACAGTTGGGTTTTATTCCTAATTGTTATGAATTTCCGCCTTGGAAACAAGGTGCGTATATCCAAGGAATTGACGGAATTGAGATTTTTATCACTTTTTCCCTTAAAAGTGAAACTCCGCCTTGGAAACAGGGTGTGTATATTCATGGAATTGACGGATTTGTGATTTTTATCACTTTTTCCCTTAAAAGTGAATTTTCGCCTTGGAAACAAGGTGTGTATACCCAAGGAATTGACGGTTTTGGGATTTTTATCACTTTTTCCTTTAAAAGTGAAAATTCGCCTTGGAAACAAGGTGTGTATACCCAAGGAATTGACGGTTTTGGGATTTTTATCACTTTTTCCCTTAAAAGTGAATTTTCGCCTTGGAAACAAGGTGTGTATACCCAAGGAATTGACGGTTTTGGGATTTTTATCACTTTTTCCCTTAAAAGTGAAAATTCGCCTTGGAAACAAGGTGTGTATACCCAAGGAATTGACGGTTTTGGGATTTTTATCACTTTTTCCCTTAAAAGTGAATCTCCGCCTTGGAAACAAGGTGTGTATATCCAAGGAATTGACGGTTTTGGGATTTTTATCACTTTTTCCCTTAAAAGTGAATCTCCGCCTTGGAAACAAGGTGTGTATATTCAAGGAATTGACGGATTTGGGATTTTTATCACTTTTTCCCTTAAAAGTGAATTTCCGCCTTGGAAACAAGGTGTGTATATTCAAGGAATTGACGGATTCGGGATTTTTGTCACTTTTTCCCTTAAAAGTGAATTTGCGCCTTGGAAACAAGGCGTGTACATTCAAGGAATTGATGGCTATTTGTTCTATAATTTCACTAGAGATGAGGATTTATTGAAGATTTTTTTGAGGTTTTTTGGAATTGATGATATTTGGAAGGCTTTATTGAAGATTTTTTTGGAGATTATTGAAGTGCATAAAAGATGTATTGATGGCAAGTGTTCTAAAACTTTAGCTATTTTGGCTAGGATTGGTTGGAATTCGGATGTTGATTTGTTTATTGGTGCAAAAAGAAAAAAGGATTTTGAGATTTGGAAGATTGATGATAAAGGAATTAGAGGGGTTGATAATTTGGCTATTTTTAGCATTTTACTTTTGAAGAGCATAAAGAAGAATAAAGATAGAAGGGTGGATAGAAGAAAGAAGATTGCTATTGTGGATATCATTTGGAGTTGGAATTTGGATACTAAATACATTTTTTTTTGTTGATTTTTTGGGATAATCTTCTTTATGGGTTTTGTGCTAATTTGGACATATGGACGTGGAGCATACAAAATGACTGCATTTTTGAAGATTGTGAGATAAGATGGCGATTTCAATTCGTGTTGAAGTGGAGGTTTGAAGACCACTCCGGGTTGTGGAGTTGGAATAGAATAAAATGTATTTTCTATGTTTATATTGTTGTTAGGTTTAGCCTTTGGTTTTGGTATTTACGTGATGTTTGGATTTTGTTCATTTTTGGGGTTGTCCAAAAATGACATAACTCTTGTATTTTTTTTTTATTTTATGAATTCTTTGCCGGGGCTTCGGCCTCTTTCCCAAAATGTGAAAATTATGATTATATCAAGAGACAGAATGTTGAGTTAATTACTGAGCTTGATACATTAAAAGGGCAATTTGAAACTGCAAATCTTGATTTTAAAAGGTTTGATGTATCAAGCGAGGTAGTTGCCAACATGATTGACCATTGCCTGCAGTTCAAAAATAACCAGCAAAAGGGTTTAGGATACGATAAAGTGCCTCCTCCTTTCAATCATAATTACCAGTATCACCCTGTGTCTAAAGAGGAGATTGCCAACGAGCCATTCATGGTTTATGGCAAACCAGCTGGTTTTGTTTCAGGAGGTATTCAGGTTGAAAATTCTAATGCTTCTACTTCATGTGCAGGTAAAGTAGCAGAAGATGAGAATAAGGAGAAAACCATTGAACAAACCAACATCTCCTTGAGCTCTGAATCTGTTGCTTCGAACTCAGCTGCTTGTGATCAACCTGCTGTTGAGAAGTACAGGCCACCAAATCAAGTGAAACAGCCGGCTTACTGCAATTGTGCTTGTGGGAACAACAAGAGACAAGGCATGGACACGCCACTAAGGGCAGGAAGAAACAACTCCTACATGAAGAAGCAGACTTGCTTTCACTGTGGAACACCTGGACACATTGCCCGAAACTGTCCAAATCGCGCATGCGTTCCCTACTATACACAAGGGTGGCACAACGCGCCAAGAGGGATATTTTCAAATAGAAATCCCTCAAGGTCACGTTCAGACAATGGCGACTGGAATGCCAAGAAGGCCAAGAATTCAACTCCCAAGGTCAAGAATCCAACTCCCAAGGGCAAGAAGGGAATGTCGGCCCAGAAGTCTAGTCCAAGAGATGCTCATGTGAAGCCAAGACCGGTTAGGTCGAAGTCATATCGGCAGCCGACTTCAAGTTCAAAATCAAGTACCGAGGCACCCATCGGATCGAAAAAGAAATGGGTTAAACCCAACTACATATGGTTACCAAAGGTTCAATCTCCCAAATCTCCTAATGCTTCTAATATTTCTACATCTTCTGTTTGTAATAAGCATGATATGTCTTGGGAGAGAGTACCG